ATCTCTCTGAATACCTCTGTCTTTTTCTGTCTCCTGCTCCCACTCCATCTCCTTCGTCTTTTCTTTCCAGAGTTGCAGTTTTATTGGGAAAAAGTGGAGGTGTGACTTTCTGGAAGAGTTGAGGTATAATAGGCAACATTTCCTTTTTTTGCTTCTAGCTTTCCCCATATTTACTCGTGTGTTGTGCGTGGCTCTTAATGAGGGCAGATGTCAAGGCACAGTGTGTTTAGAGACGCAGAGACGGCTTTTTTTTAAGATGCAAAATCAGGGAGAAAATAGAATAGATGAAAATGGCAATGAAGGCTTGTTGTAGAAATGAGACGATGTTCCAATAAAATCAGACATAATTACAGTTTGGAAATAAACCAGATTCTTTTTACTCTAATGAACAAGAGGGCTTCACAGTCAGGAACATCAAGAATAAACCAAAATAAGTAGAACAACATTGGCTTGAAAAAAAAACCCTAGTGAATTATTTTATTTCCAACAAAACTCGATTTGTGTTTATGGCAATGCTATTAACTAAATATGTAGGGCGGGTTGAACGTTTCTGTGAGTGTGAAGTATCTTTAGGCCATTAGGTCTTCTTCTGTGTAATGATTTGGTGAATCTAGTGGGTGAATCTATGTAATGGTCTGAAGCATGGTATAAAGATGATGGTCCTCCAGTGTGACAAGGCCTAATTGCCCATCATCCTGTGGAGAAAAGAGACATCACCATGTTCTGTATGTGCCCTCTATGACAGCCTGTGCCAAAATGAACACCTTCCCAACATCTGGTAAGGGCCTTTTTGGGCCAACAGAGCAGCAAAGATGAATTTCTACTGGGATGCATCTCTTGCTTCTTAATCTCAACGCGCATTGTATACACTCATGCAAGCAGGCACACACATGAACACACCACACTGCTACGAAAAGACACACGTTCACAAGCCTTGCAGACGTTTTCTCTTCCAGCAGAGCCACCTGTCCTCTGTTTGACCGAGCCCGGCCTACTCCTTTGCTACAGGCTTGAGATGGATCTAACGCACAAATTGCTCCAGGTTTCAAAACAAGATAGAAATTGAAAGGAGGGGTTCATGTCATTTAAGTGCTTCTCCAACTCGCAACAATAGGGGACTCAATAGTTATGCACTGTATGCAGAGACACAGGTTGGACCTTGGATAAGGTACATTCTTAGCCATGTCAAAGCACTATCATACTCCACATATATTGAAAAGGAGCAAAGGTTATCTTCTTTGTTTGTTTGCTTCACTGAGCATGTTACAGCACGGCACACAGGGCAGCTTACAGTGTTGAAGAGTCAGGGTTCAGGGGTCAGAGTGCTACACGATAAGAGAGGAGGTCATAGACCTTTCTGGTGCATCACCTTTAATCGCTGTTCTGAGGACGCTCCGACTGCTTAGCAGGTACTGGTCAAGGTTGGGGCGAGGGTAAGGATTTCTGATCCGAGATCTGTTTGCAAAGCAGCATGTACATTAACCACACAACATTTAGTGACCCTGAGCGGTGAATTACAGCGCGGAAGGAACACTGTGTTTGTTTATTTGCTATAGACAGGGCTATGGACTGTGGTTGCGGTGTAGAATCAGAGAAGGGTCCTCACATTGAACCCATCAGATGGAGCAAGGCCCTTCAGTTCATTAGAAAGTCTGTACTCAAGCGTATACTCTCATTCTTTTCTCTCTCTCTTTCTTCCCCCACCCTATCCCTCTCTCTATCTCACCCTTCAGAGTGAGTTCAACAAAGATTCCTTTGGCATTACCCTCACCCCAGACTGCTGGAAAACCGCAGCGCTCCGGATGCTGACCCTTGCTCGGCTCAGCACAATGCTTTAATTTGGTGTGTTGTTTAAAGTAATTAGAAAGCCTTTTTCCCTTGTTTTCTTTTCTATTCTTCTCTGTTCTCTGCCAAGTGCGAGAGGGGAAATTGTGAGTCGTCCATGACTTCAGCTTGATAAAGACTCGGAAGAGGAATCCAGGGGACCGGGAGAGGAAACGAAGCACGCAGATACTGTATGCTCTCGCTTTACTCACTTCCCCCTGCACCACCGCAGATTGGGAAACTCTGTCTGAAAACAAACAGGGACAGGACTCGGGGGATACATGCATCTGAATGTGTGTGTTACAAATGTGTGTGTTTATGTGTGTGAAGCGTTTGCAAACACAAATGACTAAAAATAATGAGTACTTACGCAACGCAACATTAGCTGTACATGTTCTAATTTAACTTATAATAAAGATAGCACACCTAAAAGATGCAGAGAGCTGATAATGGAGCGATTGCATTCACCAATCCTGAGGCAGTGAGATTGCAATGCCAAGACAAGAGATGATGATTGTCAGAGAATCTTCTTTGTGTTGCCTGTGCTGCTCTGCTCAACTGTCACAGCGGCAAGAAAAGGAGCATTAATGGTGCTAATCTTTGACAATTAATCCCACTTTCATCGGATACATTGCTGCGAAAGGATGTCTGCACACACTCCCGCATACGCACACTCGTGGATTCATACACACATTTTATGGAAGTATACGTACATATTCTTCAATCAGTCACACACAGATAACTTATCCCTATCTACGCACGCTGTTTTTTCCCCCCACACAAGAAAACACCCTGCACACCTAGAGTGACTCACAGCTGTATTTCTATACATGTGGTCGTGCCTGAATCATATCCTTGGAATAAATTAACAAACCAGACTCTGAAAGATAGCAGGACAACACTCTTACAACACATTCATGCATCATGCACATTCCCCTATACTACATTTACACTGGTATCCTTTCCTCTTGAATTGCGTATTTTCCTCTGACAATGTCACCAACAACCTGAACCAACTTCTCTTAACACCCTCTACTAGCAGCACTGACGCTCTTGTCCACACATATTCAGCTGTACACGTAAAGTAAACAAGGCATAGCTGATTGTGATCATAATAGAGAAAGGAGACATTTAACTGAAAGAAGGTTGGATATGAAACTTTCCAGGAGTGCTCTTGTGGCTTAAAAATAAATAATTGCCTGGCCTTTGTGATTTATTCAGCCCAGTGCCCCAAACAGATAAGTCCTTTGAAATCAACCAAACACTCCTAAACCACTCAATGAGGATGATGATATTGAAGCAACAATTTAAAAGTAAAAAAGTCTTGGAGTATGATGTGTAATTAATCAAATATATATCAAATACAAGACATTCAATAAAAGTAAAAAAAGTAAACAGTGTATTAGGTTTTAAATTCCACTGCTCCAGATCATAGAAACATGGGTCAAAATCAGTCATTAAAGCGGCGTGATGCTACTTAGACCATCTCCGATTTAAAAAGAGTGAAACTTAAATATCCTATTCACTCATGTGCCCATATCTCCTCTTGTCTCTGAGTATATGTCAACTTTGTTGAACTCACCAGAACAATATTGTCTTTCTAAAAATGCCATACGAGTATCAACAATATCAACATGTCTTAATGTTCCAACCAATTCCTGAGGTACTTTACACACAATAGTCCCTTTCAAGGAGGAGAGAAAAGCAATTCTGCATGAAGTGGGAGTTACATGCACATACTCTTATTTGAAGTGAGTGGCACATTAAGAGAATATGTAACCTTTGTTGCCTCATTTTAATTAGGAAGTGCATTGGAAAAGAATATCATTAGGTCTGGATAAATATAAGCAGCAGGTGGGGGCACAAATGATCATGCCGGGTTTCGTCTTAAGGCATGTGGGATTTTTTTGTCAAGCAATGTTGCCATCTACAGGCGGAAAGTATATCCTGAGGGAGTCAAGTCTCAGTCATTCACAAATTAATAAATGATTTATTTTGACTGTGAAACTACCTGCATTAACTAGCCTTTAATTCTTGACTGACTTTATCCATTTAAATGCTCTTATGTTCATGACGTACCACCTATTACTGTATAATTGCCACGTAATTGTCGAGTAACAGACTTATATCCGTCACATAGGGATTGTTTTTTCTGATTTCATTTTCATCGCTTTACATTTTCCACATGTGAAAATAGAGGCTTATAAATAGAGATGCTTAGTTCTGGAGACTTACCAAATAAATCTTTTGGCAATTTATACACAGTTCGCATCTAATTCCATTTTTATGTGTAACATTACAATGACACATTGCAATGAGATTTGGTTCATTATAATGACTGAATTTATTATCTTTTCCAAATCCAATCAAACCCAAAGAATCCTTATGAAGAGATAAATATACACATAGAGAAGGCAAGAGACTGCAAGAAAATCTGAGGTCTGTTAACTGGTTATTTCCAACTGAGACTTGGAAAAAGGCACTTATTAAAATTAATCACTTCATTGTTCACGCTCACTCCATAGTCCAGCTCTCTCTCTCGTTTTCACTCTCTTCTTTCCAAATGTGCCGGGCCATGATTAAAACATGTCTGTTTCTCCATGACATTGCTTTGACATCATTTAATTGGTATAAGAGATAAAAATAAATGAATTAAATAAATATACTACCAGGTAAGTAGCGTAACGTAGCTCAAGGTGACAGCCTATTATTTCTCCCTTTTCTTTGCCTCAAAGAAGGCAAAGTGAGAAATGTGAGATCCGAATGTGAATGCAGCTCCTCAAGGGGCAGATTTCTTCTTTTTTTTAAATTCACCAGAGAGGGATTTTAAAATTAAATTCCAATTTGGCTCAATGTTTGTGCAATTAAATCAAAAGTATATTTTAAATGAGTTTGTATAATGAACATCTTGTTTCTTTAAAAAAATTAAAAAAAGGTATGATGATTTTCCAATCATCTGCATGCCTCATCACATCATCATCACACCTTTTACAGCACACATATGGATTTGATATATATTATATCTTATATCAAAAGGCTGACTTGCCTGTAAATATGAAAAATGCTGTAAATAATATTAATTTGGTGTCCGAGTATTACCATGCATTGTGTTTGGAGGCTTTTACAGTGAGAGAGAAGAAAGGCGGAGGGATATCAAAAGGGACGGGGTCACTCACCATGTCTTGCCTGGTATCCTTCCCTGACGCGATGAGGATGTAGTTCCAGACCAGAGGCAGCAGCAACGCCAGAGGAATCATATAGAGTTCAAAGTTCCACACAACGATGACAAAAACCTGAAGAGAGAGAAAAAAGACAAAACCATCAGCCAAAGAAAAGTGAGAACAAAAAAGTGAGAACAGTGTGGGCTGAGAATGTATACATTCAAGACCCCATGTTGACCCTGGTGAGGCAAACTCCTGAGAACGTACGCCGACCATATGTGCGATTGGAAACGCATTCAAACACATTCATATGCAGAATCATAACCGCCATGGAACAAAGCGCAAAAAATAAGACTGTGCTTCAACAAAGGTGCAGGCCTGGTGTCGGTGAGCCTAGGTTCAACACTCTGACCCTCAAGGCTTTCTGGGCCTTCAGCTGAGGAGGAGGACGATGAAGAGGATGAGTACGAGCCGTCAGAGCCTCTTCCCTCCATGCCAATCATCCCAGAGGCTGAGGTCATGTACCGTTTTCAGCAGCAGCACGTCAAAGCTGACCCTTCCATACTCAGCCCCAAACCCCAGCATCTGACCTCACACACCCCGCACCCCGAGTCCCTAACCCTGTCACTCCAAGCCCCAATACCCTCTCTCCTTCCCCAAAAGGCTCTGATGCCCCATCTCTAACCTCCTCTGCACCCATCTGCCAAAACTATAACCTCTATACCTCCCCTCTCATCACCAAACAAGAAAAGTACCATCTGAAAATTAACCTCTCCTAAAACCCTCTGGATTTGGCAGGGCTCTTTAGCCGATGACAAGAGATTATTATGGGGCTTGTGAGAAGATATATGTGGGAAAATAATATTGCTAATGATGGAAGCTTGTCATCTTATCACGGCATTGTGTCAATTGTGAGAAAGGATTTGGGGACATGTTAGAGTTTAGCTCAGATAGGATAATGTGTGGGAATACAATCTTTAAGAAACAAAAAGAACAAATCATTTGTATTTTCTAAATATTTGTATGTAAAAGTATACACATATATTTCATAATTAATAAGACTACAGCAACAATTATAACAAATGCTAAAAATGCAAACCATGCCTGATACTTATTTTTGTTTTTCTAACAAAACATGTTTATTAAATTCAAGTGAAAGAATTTTATTATTTTAAATATGAGCAAGTAAGATTTAACATGAAATATTGTCGGTATAATAATGCATCCATGTTTAACAGGCAGTTTTGATGGGAAACTTTCAGAAGTGTAATTAATACCATTACAATATGAAGCAGTAATGTGTCTGTGTACCAATTATGATCTGTTTGGCTGGACAACATCATTAACAATCAAATTGTTTTATTTCCGTGTGTTAAGAGGATGAAGAGGGAGAGAGGGGTGAAATGAAAAACAAGCTCTCCATTGTGTTTACAGTCTAAGGTGAATGTGGATATGAGGTTCAACAGCCCCTCAAGAGTGTGTGTGCAGCACTGCTATTACTGTAGTGGAGCCAGTCGGACACTAAACTGCACGCACACGCACTATCACACACACACTGTGCCGTCGATGTTGCATTTTACTTTCACACACACACACACCCACACACAAACATATGTATCTGAATATCAATGCAAACAACTCTTTACATAATGAAACAATAACATTTTCTTAACTTTTTCCCTTCTCATGTATAAAGAAAAAGTTGGTCAGGCTCATATCCAAACTTTTTAATAAAACTATCTTTATGTAAAATTCACTAACAGAGGCACAGTATACAAAGCAAAAAAAATACATAAATTAAACATTAGAAATGTCCAGTACATTTACATAATGCTCACAGCAAAATGTATTTTCAAATAAACCTGAATGGCCTTGGTGCAGCAACAATATCTCCCAAAAGGATCGAAATCTTTCCCCGTCTCTCAGGCTCAACTTCACTTTCTCAAATACAAAGAGCCTTTCTCTGATACAGCTGTGTAGGAGAATTGGAAATAAACTATTCAATAATTCATATTTGTATACTAATAAGCAACACAACCATTTCCTTTCATACATCAGAAAAGAGGCAAGGACCGTGTAAGCTCAGCAAAATAAACTTGCATACAAACAAACATATCACATGCTTGAAAACAAATGTTCTCTACAAAATATAACCATTCTAAAATGATCCATCTTCCTGCAAAGTATTATAGTTTACAAACTCAAAACACTGATAAACATGTAATAATCAGTTTGTAATACAATCCGCAATAGAGGTGCAGAAATATGTCTTCAAACCAACAAAGGAGCTCACTTGTCTTAAACGTATTCTCTTAGAAGATATAAATACCTTACACAAATCTTCATGCAGATACAATGTTCTTTTCAAACGCTCTGCTATAAATAACACTTACAGTAGGCATATTGTAAAGTAAATATATTTAGTGTCTTGTTCTCTAATCGCTTATGGTATCGTTATCACACAACAGGCAAATGAATGTGCTCCACACTGTCCTGATGTTTAAATGAAACCTTAAAACCCTGTTTTATGTTTAAAAGAAAAAGGGATCTTGCTTTCTTCTCCATTTGCCTGAGGTTGTTTAACCTGCCGCCCCCCTTCATTCCTTCTCTATTTGGTTTTAGTGGCTGAGGGCGAAGTTTTGACAGGCAGCTAGAGCAACCGGACACCCAGGCTCAGCAGTGGCCGGCCCTGCCCCGTCTCCGAGCCCCCCGGCGGGGTAAGAGGGGCCCTGCAGTGCCTGGACCTTTCCACCAGGACCTGGCGATCACAAACACCCCCCATTGCGTGCTACACCAGATAGCAAGCTCTGCGCCTGGGGAAGAGGGAGTGGGAAGGAGCCTGCTGTGGATGTCAGTGACCAGAGAAAGACGGTGGGGGGAAAAAACAATGATAAAAACATGCTGGATCGAAGGGGAAAGAGGAAGGGGGGGGGGGAATGCAAAATGAAGCTCCAGATGTAGTCAAAGGGAATAATTTGTAGATGACTCTGCGTGGTCAGAGACACACAATGTAGTGACCGGTTCATATCTGAACAACTGAACACGGACTGAGAGGGACGCTCACCAGGCTTTCCTTTTAAATACTGCTGATTTCTTACCTGTGTGCTAATGTTAAAACATTCATATAAACACAGTAGATGGTCTTTCTGTTTATGTGCTTCTATATTATTAAAAATATGCAAACACTCTAATTAAGTCTTGAGAGTGTGTATATAAATGTGCAACAGAACAGAAACAATAATGAGATATAAACCATTTTCTCTCTTCTCATACAACCATTGTTAGAAATAGTATCTGTAATTATCTGAATTAGAACAGAGCAGTAACAAATATACATTCAAGAGTCAGGTTAGTTATTTCTACTATAGTGAACATTTGATTTTGTCCCCAAAACTACTGGCAGCATTTACCTTTAAACAGCTATTTTATCATAAAAACCCATCATCACTCTTTTTAAATCATTTGCTTTAACAAGTGTTTTTCATACGGCAATGATTTTTTAAGAACAAAACTAATCACTTGTCATAAAACAAAGTAAAACAATACTTTCCTCTGTCAAATCTGCTAAACCATTTCAAATATGGTTTAAGGCTACATTTGAACTGGGCAAACTTCACATCTAAGCACCAGCTGAAATTCATACGACATGTGTAATTAAAATAGACAATCACAAACAGGAACAAAGTAAAAACAATGGCAGTATCATTTGTAATATTTTGGCTAAAATACCAATACATAAAATCAGCAAAATAAATTATTTTGACAAGTCTCTGTAGTCTAATTTCATTACAGTTATATCTTAGATGCCCTCTCTTGATATTAAGAAATCCCCTGAACACAAGAAGATATATTAAACGTGTTAACAAAATAGAGAAGTCAAAATGATTTATTCAAGCACTCAGTGTGGCACGTTGAGAGTTGTATTTTGCATTATTTGTTTCAAAACACAACCCGCGTCCTTACGGCTCTGAGCCGCGGCTCTGTGGGAGGGTAATATTCAGTACTTTGGCTTACATTAACCACACACCAGGCTAACTTTCCCCCTGCTCTGTCTCAGTGGAGTGAAACTGAAGTTTGGATTTCAGAGTTCCCCTTTATCTCTCTTACATCAATTTCCATGCTGGCACTAAGTGTTGCCAGATAACAACTAGAAGTCCTGTTAAGTTCGAGGGAGAGGGAGAGGGAGAGGGAGGAGGACTGTGTCCTGTTAGTGAACGGACCTCCCCAGCATTCAGTGGGGCTAGACTGCCCCCTGCTGTACTCCTGCAGAATATATATCTACAGCACAACTAATGCTGCTCATCTGATAAAACAGCAGCCTGAATGACTAAGCCCAATGTGTCAAAGCCAGTCATTTTCTAAAAACATGCAAAAATAAAACAAAGCATCCACCATTTTATGACTGCAGTTATAAAACGGAGTGTTACGAGAAGTAAAGATGCCGAGTCCCTGGCGTCTCAACAAAAGGCCTCGCACATTTCCCGTCTATCTCTGGTGATTAAACTCTGGTTTGGTATTCTTGGTTAGTCATGGCACTATATTTCAACTATCATTCGTTTAGCAAATCAGGAGAGCAGTAAAATGTGAAAGTATATATTTCAAAGCTGTCCCTTGCTGTGGGCAAAGACGAACTCACGACTTTAAAACTTTCAAAAGTTAAGACTGCTTCTTTGAAGAGGAGTCAAAGGAGCAATTTAAAGAGACCTGGAGTGGTGTGTACCACTGCTATGGCGTCTCTGCACTGTGTATGTGTATTAAACATGTGCAAACACACACACCCACCCACACACACTCCAATAGTTGCTTCTGTACCTGTCTTTGCTTTTTTCCCTTTTTTATTTCAGCAGGGTGAATTTTTATCTAAATGCAAAGCAGGTGATAGGTGCTCCAGTTTCCTCTAGAAGTAGCTCCCTTGTCTGGGCTCTCTTCCTGATAAGAGTCCTACTTTGCCTGACATAAAAGAGCCCGGTATCATTTCCCCTGCCTCCCCAACAACCCCCAGCTCGCTGCCCTCGCCCTTCCCCGAGCTTCACAAAGCTGCCTCTATTTGCTCCCAATTCAGGGCCCAATTGCAGATAAAGTTACAGCAAATTTGTTTGGAGGAAGAGCTGCTGAGGCCTGCGGTCCCTGGGGCAATAACAGCCTTGTCTTGCAGGGGCCGTGGGGAGAACTGGCAGCAGCAGGAGAACAGAACCCTACACCGCTCAGCCCCACAATGGCCTCAACTCTCCGGGAGAGAAGGCACAGGAAGAGGAGGGGAGGGAGAGATTAAGAGGAACCGGGATGGATGGAGGGAACGAAGGAAGAGACACTGAGCTTGCAGGTGTGGAGAGAGGAAGCAGACGCTTAACCCTGAGACAGGGAGACACAGAGACCAACACCCACATGCACACACACTCACACACACACACACACACACACACACAGAGACACCACCCATCATGCAGGACAGGAGGTAACTCCAGTCCCGTCCATTGTGCCAACGCCTCAGGCAAAGCTGCCACGGTGGCTGATTCACTGTCGGGATGGGTGGGTGACAGCAGTGTGGGTGTGAGAGAGAGAAAGGCTGCATGTGAGACTATGCGATATCTTTCTTTCTCTCACATGCGCACAAAACACACACAACATACACACTAATCACAGCTGGCACTAATGGGCGATGTGTACATGCGGCTGGCAACTTTTGGAATCGTGCAGAAGGAGAGCAAGAGACCATGAAGAAAAATGTTGAGCGTTTTCATGGAGGGAATGTTGTGAAGTGACTGCATTTGGATGTACTATTGCATTCACAAAATACCAGAATGATACGAACACACTGAAATGCCTCCCCTCGGGCTCACTGAGCAGTTGAGAAGTGCACACATTTGTAAGTTTAGAGGTTGAATTGCCCACAACTCCACCTCTGTAGCTACAGCCGTGTTGGAAAGTTAAGTGTAACATCTGTCTAGAAAGACAGCCAGACAGAAACACACGTGCACATGTGAACAGACACACATGCCCATAATCACACACAGCCGTACACCTTCATGAACACACCACCTTGGCCAGATGGCCCCCCATAAAAACCCACTTAAAGAGATGAGCGAAGTGATTAAGAGGCCTCTCAAAGTGAGGGAGAAATGAAAGAGGGATGAAGAAATAGAAGGGAAGGGAGGGAGGGAGTACCTGTGTAGAGGAGAGGCCCTAAATACTCTGATGCTTTTAGCTAAGTGCATAGTCCTACAATAACAGACTCCCAAAAGAGTGGGAGAGGGGGGAGGAAAAGCACAATGACACCTACATTTCAGACTTTCTATAAACTATAAAACGCTACGTCCTTGGCCTAGATACACCCTTTATCGTCATCTGAATACGTTGAATTTAAGCGAGTACAATGAGAATATGAATAGTCTGCACTGTTACTCAGAAGGGGATGTACTATACGCTGTGTTTTCTAAAAAGGGTGAAGGGCTATACAAGGCATGTGCATGTGTGTGTTTGTGTGTGCTGACATGGAGGCTGGGCTATCCAAGGCTGCATCCTCCTCTCACCACGAAGATTGGCATCGCTGAGTTGACCTTGTTTTCTGTGAATTCGTCCCAAAAGAAATGTGTCTGACATTTTTGTATTTCTTTCTTAAAGATAAAGGGTGCTCACACCCAGTTCAGCCTTACATGAGAGTGAACTTACACACACACACCAGAATCACACATGAGTCTGCTTGCACACACACACACACACACACACACACACAGAGGGAAAATGTTAACTGATCAATACTAGTCTCTTCTGACCCATGTCTTGTGATGACACTGTGACCTGCTGTACAAACACACACATATGCAGCCTCTGCAGAGATGAAAATGGTGTCAGACAGCCAAATGCTGCTAATGTCTAATGTCTGCTGTGAAGACACTTAGTGCTCCTACAGTAAAGGGCTGGGGCGGGGCCGGTCCACCTGTCCTGTAGCTACTTAAGTCAGGACACTAAACCAGACAGGATTAAATGCCTTCTCTGTCATCTTTAGGGTAGGGAACCTCCATTCAACCACTCACCGCCCTGCAGGAGAATGTCTTTTACTGATAGCTCTGCTGTCCAATTACACTTCACCTTATAATACCAGACACAGATGACAGGAGGGCAAGAGAGAGAGGACAGAGGAGGATGATGGGAGAAGAGAGAGAGAAGCTACCATTTCCACTGTCTGCAGGAACAGCTTGTCACACTTCAATAGAATATAGCAACATTTCCAACACAAGTATTTAAATGTTTAAGGGTCTCAATTAAAATAGTGTTCAAGTTTCAACACCAACTCTCCACTTATTCCAAGCAACTGAGTACCAAAACAGACACTTTCCACGTATAAACCATGTGTGCTTTTACACTTAATACAAAGCTTGAAAAGGGATTTAATCGCCACTATCTTATTAAGAAATTGAGCATGTGAGAAAGTGAGAGTCTGTAGTGGGGGGTTACAGTGTGGAAATGTACTTAGCTGTGCTTGAGACATCAACAACCCCCCGTGTTAGAGTGTGCAATTACCAGTGAAGGATCCATACTTTGTTAGCAGAAATGGTCCTACAGCCTCTGTTGCTCTCCTGCTGCGTGTGTGCAGATGTTAACTGGCAATATGAGAGTACTCGGTAAAATAGATGAATGTTGTTAGTCTATTTAGAATAGTACTGATCCATCAATGTGGTTATGGTGATTTAGTTTCAAAACGTGTGAGGTGCACCCAACTCCATGTCAGTTTATTTCACCATATTAATAAAAAAGCATTATCATATGTTTTGATAATAGAATCGGTGTACGCAAAAAGATAAGATTTAGGTCCTGTTTCAGTTTGGATGTGAATGTAATATGTCCTCATGTGTGGTACTGTACAGGTATATGCGAGTGCAGCTGTACGTACTACAAAAGCACAGATGCTCCTCTGCGGAGAGTCCCATTCGAAGCAGCTGTTGATGAAGCAGCCTGTGTTGATCAGGAACATGATGCAGCGACGAACTCTGTTAAAGTTGTGCAACAGCAGCTAGAAGGGAGACAAAAACAAAAGTGAATGATTAAAACAAATGAAGATCCTGTTATATACTGTAGATGATATATCATTATGTCTCATATATTATCACATTAATGAGACTTTATGTGACAGATTCCTGTGTAAACAAACTAAATCGCATCAGGGTTGTGACTTTTTAACATAAGCTTCACATACAAACATTATCACATACTGTATGTTTAAGAATTAAATTCCCTCTTTTTTGTAAAGGTTTTGAGTGAATTTGTCACAATTAAATAAGTACAGTTAATACACCATGTACTGTATGTCTTCGTTAAAATGACCGTAAATCTTAATACAGGCACTTTAAACCACATTTTGTCTCACTCTGGAAAGTTAAGTAGAGCATTACGTTTTTTAAATGTGCAGCTTTTACCCCACTTTGGCTTTAATATTACTGTCTAACAGTGCAGCACTGAGGACACCAAGAGGACAATGTCATGTGTTCCTTCTTTGGATAGCTATATATGGATGTGGATCAGCATACAGGACAAACGGCCGCTTAAAGTGTGACAAGATGACTCACAATGTTGCTGTAAGTCTTCTCTCCAAGTGATAAAGTGAAGTACAATAATTTCCAACAGTCCCTGGACTCTCCTCCCCGAGGGCTCTCCGTTCATTTTGGCCAGGTATGAGAGAAAGCTGGCTAACTGCTGTCCTCCCCATGGGTTGCCAACCATTCAGGGAATAGCAGTATAGCAGCGCAGAATGCCAACCACCCAATCAGGTCACCACCAGGAGAAAGTGCTCCCAAAGGACAAACTGTCTCTGCAGATCGCTGTTCAAAAAATTCTAGGCCATTATTTTACTATTTAGAAGAAACTTCTGTGTGTGTGTGTTTGAATGTGTGTATATTGTGGGTATACAGTATGGGTTTGTAGCACTACAGTAAAGTCTATTGTCTATATGCATGTGTGTTTCCGGGTGGATTTGCATGTGGTTAGGGGTGGCTTGGCTGCTTTGATGCTAGATGAGAGGAGGATTCCTCCCTCTCTATGTGTAATTATGTGAAGTCTTTTTGTTGCTAAACTGAGGATGACTGTATGGTGTCCTGCTGGGGGCACACAGACCCTGAAGACAGCAAGACTGTGAATCATCCATTTCCACGTTCCTCAGCGCATGCACTTGATGTACATGCTGTACTCTTCTGGGCTTATTATTGCCTAACTGTCTTGATAAGGCTTTTTCATTTCCATGAAGTATTTCATTAAGTGCCTTGAGTTATTTCTCTAAAACACTTAGAAAAGTGGTAAAGACATTTATTAAGTCAAATGTGATAATTACGATTATATGGTTTTGTTTGGCAGCCAGCTTCTGTTTTTTTTTCTCTTTACTGTGTATGTGTCTGCACACTAAGCAGCGAGCGACAGCAGGGGAGCTGCTACCACACAAAAGAGCCCTCACGGGGCAATCCTTCTAAAGCAGCCAGTGACATCATCATTGCGAGACGCTGACATGGGTCATCTCAGTGAGTCAGAGGTGAAATGCAGATGTAAAAAAGATTCTGCACTTGGGGGAAAAAAGAGTAGAGTGGGCCGAGACAGAGAGCAACAGAGAAGGCAGGAACAGTGAGGAAAGAAGGGAATAGATGGAGGGCTGACAAAAGCCTGGTATGGGAGCTGGTGCGTGTGTTTGCTGCGCTCGACTGTGCATGGCGCAGCTTTGACTGCTGAGCCCAAACGGTCAGTCATATGACATGTCTGATGTGGGCCAGCCCCTACTATTCAGCCCTTTGTGGTGCCGCCACACTGAGCGGCGTGACAATGAAGTGCAAAGCAGCAGTGGCAAAGAGGGCCAACTATAAGGATGGCCAATCTACTTATGCACCCCAGAGCTGACAGCTTGACATTTCTATTCACCACTCAGAGTGGATGCAAGGGGGGAGAGATGAGAGAAGGGAGAGAGGAGGGAAGAAAAAAAAGAAACAAAATGCTGTTTTTCCTTCAATCATGCAGTTGTATCTTGCCCACACAGTTGTTCTGGTTTACAAGATGCCACTCTGCAGGCGTGTTGGTTTCGCTTCAGACAGTTAGGCAGAATAGGGTGGACACAGATATAATAAGGCGGAGAGGTAGAAGATCAGTGTTGGCTGCTGATGTACCTGTTTGGACACTCTGGGCTCCTCTTCGATATACTTCTGCTCTATGGGAATCAACGTCCTGAGACCAGCCTTCACCTGGAGGACGGAGTGAACACACACAGCCTTAAAAACAGCAAATGGTGAGAGTGAAAAGACACTTATTTCATAGCGCAAATAAATAAAATGACAGAATTTATGACGATTATATTTATTTTGAATGTTTTTTTGTATACATTGTGTAATGATATTGGCAGCACATGCATAGAGCGTGCCCCATGTCAGTGGCTAGAGAGCGGGAGAGAAAGCTGTAAGATGGCCGCTATAGGACACACACAGCGATGGTGAATGGGCGAACAAAGGCTGTTGAGAGGGAGTCTTCGATAATTAAAGCCAAAACGAGGACGAGGGACAAGGGATGAGATGGAAGCGAGGGAGGGGGGACAAACAGAATAAAGACAACAGCAGCGTGGGGGGGGGGGGAGATCCTGGAGAGAACAAGAGCGGGATGGAGGGAGAGGATAATGGGGGGTGGGGGGCGAAAAAAATAAATCAGGGAGGAGAATCAAAAAAGCTAAAGAAAGACTTACAGCATTAAAAATCACGTCTATTTCGAGAAAGATGACCCCTTTTGTTGGCCCTGTCAGCTCCTTGCTTTTCAAGGCGTAGGCTTTGCGTTCTCCATTTTGGATCTGTGGGAGAGGGACATGACAGGCGTCTGTCTGGCAATACCCGGCTGAATCGGCTCCCCGGGCCACCTTTGAACCTCAGCTGCTGGCGCTGACAGGGAACCCAAAACAACTGTGGCAACTCTGACAAGTACCTGTTCATTACCCACTGCAGCTCGGCTCTGTCAAACAGAAATTAACTATCCTGGGAATCATACTGTACAGCAGAGCATGGATATATTAGACACACAGTACCTTTTACAGGCTATATATATATTTTTTCAACTATAATGTAAGACATACTTGTGTTTTTTTTATCTATAAATCGTTCCATCCCTCTATCAGTGTCATTTTCATATCATCTCTCATCCCCTCACTTTCTTTCTTCTCACCTATCAATCTCTTCTTTTCTCTTAGGCTCTCTTCTATTTTTCTCCATCTTGTCATCTCTTTTTTCTTTGTGAAATAATAACAGCCTCATCTGTGGAGTTGCAAAAATAACCCCTGCTTTTTATATCTTCAACTGTGTGTTTTCGTTCTTTCCGTTGCTCTATGTTCTCTATATTATCCCCAAAGGAAAAGACGTAGAAACACACGCAGGAATCTGCCTTTGACTCACATTTAGTAAAGGAACAGCCACTTTCCCCAGAAAGTCGGCACTTCTATCTCGGTCCTCGTCGTAAACAGTGACCTCAAGTACCGAGTGGATGTCCTTCACGTTACTGCGGCACACAGAAACATCAATGACACATATACTGAGATATGGGTTACAATCTGAACACTATGAAAGCTTTGTGTCTTGGATAAGCTCCCTTAAATAATTCCCAACGACATTTTTTATATATGTGTATCCTGTATTACATTTCCATAAATGTTTAAAAATCACTATTGACATGCATTATGGTATATTGCACTACAGTACTGCAATAACTAAGGAGAAGTAAAGAGTGACATGTTATCTTTTTTTAAAACTAGGCGATCAAGAAGAAAGCTGATGTTATGTATAGCAAAGGAGGCTAAAAGAGAGGATGACTGAACTAACCTGTCCCAACGGTGGGATTTCACAAGTTAAATAATGGTATCATACATGTAAGAAATGATGCAAAGAGAGATCTGCATTAACATTTAATTATAGCTTGAGTGTAACTATATATATAAAATATTTTTGGAATACGTAAACATTTGACAAGCCTGCTTTGTATCTTATATTAATGTCTTCCTATATTTTTTTATGAGAAAGGCTTTCCGCATTGTTAACTGTGATCAATATTTTTTTTAATGCTCAAATTTAACTGGATACATTTTTTTTTAAACACAAAAACAAAATTGTATTGCTGTGATTTAAAAACCTTTTTTTTGTGAAACTGTTGCTTTGACTTTACCAGAGTTTATTACAAATATATATGTTCGTTTTATTTGATTTCATTACTGCAGTGATTTCAATGTGTGTGCGAGACATGTGAGTTTTGTAAAAGCTACTCACAAAGTGAAGACTTTGTTCCACTCTGGGTTGAGGTTTTTGTAGACAGTGTGTGTCTGCAGCCGATCGTTACTCAGCTCCACCACACAGAAAGGGTCACTCTTACCTTCAGAGCAAAAAAAAACAAACATGAGAATGACCTTCGTGTTGAAAAGAGATACATACATTAAGAAGATTCTACACTTTAGTTAGCTTCGAAAAAAACCTCTAAGTAATTCCAACAGCTTTTGTCTATCTCCAATCCCTCATTTTATTAAGACAGATAATAAGCAGCATCCTCCCCTTCTACCACATGACAGCTCCAATACCCTGGACTTATCAGAGCTGTAATAATATGATTATTTCATGTTTAGCCCCGATGCCATATTATAAAACAGTATATCAGTGGAACAGCTGCGAGCCGTTTCTATCAAAACCCTGGGAACATGGACAACTAGAAGATAAGCTGCAGGACAACTATGCCCTGGGCAGTCACAAGGTGGGGGCGGGAGAGTCAGAGGAGAGAGATTTTGAATGGATGGTGCAGAGGACACAGACTGCGATGTGGCTCTGAAGGCCAGAGAAGTTCAAAGTAGAAGATAAAGAAAGCCGAGCAGGGGTGTGAGAAACATCGCTGCTCCATGATTAGCGAGTCCGAGCCAGCGGCAACGACGCAGGGAAGAAATGAATGAAAGCAAGAACAACATTTGAGAATTAAATGATGAAACCTTTTTTTTCTTTCTCATCATTTTGGCTTTGTTATATTGACAGCCTTGTAAATTGATCAAAACAGTACGAAAAGTATTTTGAATATTCAAATGTATCACTTGTGTTTATTAGAGGGAAATCACTGCTGCATGCAGTGTTATACACTGGCAGCAATACTAGTTTCATTAATATAACATAAGTGACATTTTATAGTAATAATAACAAAACATCATATATCCAAATGTAGATTTATTGTACAGAATAATTTCATTTTAAAACTCAAGGATCACATATGAAATCATTTGAGTGGCCTGTTGCTGCCAAACAGATTAAACTTTAGTACACTACGTGAGAACTTTTAAGACCCTCAGCTGTTATAAAACATTGATATGATATATGGTTCACTATAAATCATATTCATTAATGCTAATTTATTCCAACAAAACTTTAAATTCAGAATTTACTACAGTTATGTAACTGGGTAGAGAGAGACCGAGAGGAGAAATAAACATAATCACTGAGTTATTTCCTCCTCCTGAGAATAGCCTACTGTACTATAATAATCAAACCAGTAATGTCCTATATATTCTCCATTTGTTTACATCTCACATCTCAATTTCTTTGTACGCAAAAAGGAGAGAGACCAGCTCCCCGCGCCTGCAAGCCCACCTCCCTTCGATTGCCTGAAAACGAACTAAAAACAACAAAACTCTTAATTCTGGCTTTGATCATTTTTTTTCATTAAAACTGTTGGGAGCCGTTGCGCTGTTTGTTCAAGATTATCACTTGAAGAGACTGGGTCAGGAAGTTAAAAAAAAAACATGTCCCACACGTATTCCCGTAGAAAAAAAGAGAGACTATTTAAATATAATAAAGGAGAAATGTTGCATAATAGGACTCAATAAAGTTGGGATTGAGTTCAAAGCCCCCTGCCACATTTCAGCTTGTGCCTCCGTCTGTTTGAGTGTGTGAGTGTGCAACATGGGAACCGTGTGGGGTATGTGTGTGTGTGTGCGTGCGTGTGCGTGTGCGTGTGCGTGTGCGTGTGTGTCATTGATTGGTGTGATTTTCTTCAAATGTTGTGACAAGGGCAGGACATTTAGTGGGTGTGCAAAGTAAATGTCACCGTGATCAATGCTGAGCCGTAGGTGTTGCCTTTCATATCTGTTTGTGGGGCTTTATTGATGTGGAGTGTTTGAAGTGGATATTGACAGCTATGACTCCTACGATAGAAAACAACATATATTAAAATTGACAAAAGAAAATGGACTCAAGTACTTTTAAATGCATCTCCATGGACATATTTTATTATCAATATAAATTGTTATTGCTTTGGTATATATAAATGCCTCGCTGCACCCGTCACGGATACACCGAAATGTATTTTAAAATTATGCATTTTGGCTTTCTTTGAATGTTTATTACAAAAGTGAATATTTGAAATCCTCCTTAATCCTCCCGGAGCATCCATAGCATAAACGATTATGATGTTGTCCCGACAAATCAAGTCTGATTAAATTTAAATGCAATCATCTAAATTAGGAGATGGAAATTATTTCTGCAGAACCCGGTCCCTCCCCCATTTTCTCTCTAATATTCTGTTTTTAATGACATGGCAGGCTGTGTTGCCGCAGAGAGCCAGTTGTCATTGGTGATGAACTTTCACCTTATTGGCCGCCAGCACCAGAGGCGGCTGTCTTAACCAATTACACGCTCAGGTTTGAGCGCCACTCAGAGATCGCCCAGGTAATGTCCGAGCAAAGCTCCTCCCCCCTCTGGGTCCCGTCTCGGTGCCGCTGGCAGAGAGTTTGCAGCGAGCAGCGAGCAGCAAACTCATTTCATAGGCCCTGAGATAAGTGTGGAGGATGAAAACAGTGCAGGGACGAGGGAGCGCTGTAATTGCCTCGCAGGAAGCTTAGAGTTAGTGAGGAGTTTGCGGCTGGAGAGGGAACGCTCTCATGCTCCTCCACAATCACAATGAATTATGATTTAGACTTTAAAATGTGAATCAATGGCATTTTTTCTAGCATTTACTCTAGTTTTCATATAACTTTTAAAAGGCTAGACAAGATAAAGACAGTATTTCTTTGTGTGTCAAGTGCTGCCGTGGAAAATATACACTTTGCTGAGAGATTTTGTGTTATTGTTGAGCGTAAAAAGAATGTCTACATTTCCTATGGTGTAGCTGCTGGAAGTGCATGTGCCTAGTGTGTGTGTGTGTGTGTGTGTGTGTGTGTGTGTGTGTGTGTGTGTGTGTGTGTGTGTGTGTGTGTGTGTGTGTGTGTGTGTGTGTGTGTGTGTGTGTGACTGTTGAAATGTTCTAACTGTATAGCATCCACTCAAAGGGACAAGAGCTTGCAGACAAAAGGGATTGTTGGTTTTAGAGACTATTTTCAGTTATCCTACTCGGGCTGGAGAGGAGCTACTCCACAAAAACACTTCAATTAGAGAGAGAGATGGCTACAGAGAGGAGGAGGAGGAGGGGAAGAGACGGGTGAGGAGACAGGCAGCGTGAATGGGAGAGAGATGGTGAACTCTTTCTCTCTCACTGACCTCCCCTCTCTGTCTGTCTGTTTGTCTGTCCGTCTGTTTCTCTCTCACCTTGCTCCCGACCCTCTCTTGGTCTCAGCTGTTAAAATAGGGTGTTCATGTGGTGAGGGCTCTTATGTGGCTCTTACAGAGCTATTGTTTCTGCCAGTGACTCACAAACACACACATACACACATGCACACACACACACGCACACACAGCGTCAGGCTCAAAACAGGAATAAGCCATCTAGAAACAACCCTGTCATTTTTCTGTATCATTTCACCTACTGTATATATCTTTGTAAGGCTAGACTGGCTGAAAGAAAACGTTTTCTAAGGAACAAAATACTTCTTTTTTTTCCTTGCTTGCCAGAATGTATGAATTCAAATAAGGTTAAACATTGGACTGTCTACATTTGAGATCTCTTTGGCTATAACACAAAAGTAACGTGTTAAACCCACATGCGAAACCAAGCCCATGTTTTGTCTTGCTTTTTGAAAATATATACAGAGTCCCTAGTGGAAACATCTTTTTTTATTTTCATTTGGCGACATATGGCAGGCACATACTTAAATATACGTATATATATGTCAGAAATACATGTTTCCTTGTAAGTTCACATTTTCCCATTTTAAGAAAAAACATAGGTAAACTTTGTCAGTCAAATGTTCAAAACATGTTTGTTGTGGATATTCAAATCTGAATTTTACACTTTTTCAAAATGTTCAGTGTTGGTATAGTTTGAATGAAACATTGTAGCCCTGGTTGACACTAAAGGATATGCTGCACTGTAACTGTGTAGCAAGCTTGTAGCGCTAATTTCAAATCACCACGGGCTGTAGAGGCTGCTCTGAAATCAATCATGTTTTCAATGAGCACGTCTAACCGCAAGAGACAAAGTGAAAGGCAAACAAACAGCCACTAGACATTATATTTCCAGTTTTACTTTTTTTGGTTTTTTTGGGAAGGATCCATAAAGCTTAGACTGAATGATGAGCTCTACAACGAGGTCACGGAGCAAATTTCAGCTTGGAGTGAAATACAAGAGCCAGAGAACCATTAGCCCTGCACTCCGGCTGCTCCGGTCGCTCCACGCAATAACCCAAATCAACCAGCTCCACTCTGTATTGGCTAATGGGACTGTGGCTGTTTCAAATGGAGAGAAAACTCTAGACTCACTCTCTCTCACACACACACACACAGAGACACACACATTTCCTTCTCTCTCTACTAGATAATACAGAGTGAAAAACTAGGCCTGTCCACTGTAGACCTAATTAAAAGTAAGAATTAATGGAGAATGGAGGATTCAGAGAGAGCAAGCAGAGAAAGAGCGGGAGGAGGGAGGAGGAGGGGGAGAGATTTGTTGGTTCAAATATGTACTTTTTCTCTATTATTCAAATGAGCAGCCTGCATCTTTTCAAAAAATGCAGAGACAAATTTAGAGTCCTGCAAAAGTAGAGTTTATCTCTCTCTGAGGATCCTCGCAGAGCATCATCCCTTACACCAAAATTACACCCTGACTTTATCTTTTTCTAGATTTATGGCAGATCGGTGGTGGAGGAAAACATGCCACAGAAATTGTTCAATGTCTTAATGCAAAACCCAAGCAGAAGACAGAGGCCTTTTTTCACATTATCTTTAAGAGTATGAACATATGACAACGAATCCAAGAGTGAAACATGAAGAGACTAACTTGAAATAACAGAAGTACAGAGGTCTGGACTTAAGGTCATTGTCTTACCTGTGACATCTGCTGCCATCAGTCCCTCAGCCCTGATGACCTTTACCTGCACCACACCGACATCTTTCAGGCTGTTGAATGACCTCCACAGGCTCTGAAACATCATAGGGACAGGGGTCAAAGGTCAAAGAGGATGCCAAATTAGCATTGAAGAGAATGGCAGGTCAATAGCCTGACATTTCATTAAGATAGGAAAGGGTAGAATATGTCCTTTAACAGTCCTTATGTGAAAATGTAGAGCTGGCATTTATAGGCGAGTCTAACAGAGGACAAATGGCCAGATTTCAATTTCACTGAATAGCTGTGCTTGCCTGTTTGAAATGTTCCCTAACTCTGTACTTTTTAGATAAAAATGAAACTTGATGAGAGAACACAACAATCAATATTGTTAAAAGTGACTGCTAATCCACGCAGTACACAAATAGGCTTCATTGTGAACAACAGGCAAGTTTAACATGTTAAGTTGAACAAATTCACAGAAAATATTCAAACAGAATCTCTTCAGCGTTATGCACACTGTCAGTCTGGGTGCGGGCTGGTGTTTTCTTATCTAATCACTCCATGAATTTCTTTCTCAATGTGTGTAAGAAACAAGAGGTGTTGGGAGAGTGTGTGAATAGCAGCATTCGTATCAGCAGAAGAAAGTGAAATATATGAAGTATAAAATAGTACATTTCTTACAACAGTCTGTACATGTGAAATATATAACAACATAGAAATGTGAAGTAATGTGATATACATTGGTGCATATACAGTATAATGTGATATGATGTCTTTGATATCTTAATACTGAGGCAAACACACACTGGCCCCACATACACACAGTGCAGTTTGAACTACATCCACACAAAAAGGGGAAACACTAACGATAAACTAACCAACTGTTAAACAAGAAGTCAAGCATTCAAGCTCACACACACACACACCTCCTGATATTTTCTACACACATACACAGTCAAGAGATACTATACCGCCCTGGGATTGTTTGAAATGAGAAGGCAAGTACAAGGTTTAAATAACCAAGAGAAAAAATGATGACTGTAAATCCTAGTCTGTAAATCTGTGGAATAAAGAGAAGCCTGTTGAAATCACGCTGGGCCATGAGGCATGTTTACACACAGACCGACACATGCACAATCAGAAACTCATGCTTTTGTTCGCACCCAAATACTCAGGTATAAACACATGCATACAAAACCTACACTGGGGCCAAATTGAGTAGCATGTCGGCGTGTCTTAAAAGCAAAGTGGAAATGCACTTCACTTCAATTTATTTCCCTCTCTCTGGCAATAACCCCTTCCATCCCCACAGGAGTAATTATAATTTAAATTTCAGAGTCAGGGCCAGGCTACAGACTTAATTCATTATTACCAACTCTGTCAGACTCTGCCTGTTTCCAGCGATATCATTGTCCAAAAGCTCTCTAAAGGAGATGAGAGGGGAGAGTGTGTGAAAGAAAGAGAGGGGGAAAAGAGAGAGAAAGACAGAAATACAGTGAGAGAGAGAGAAAGAAAGGGAGAGAGGGGAAAACTCTGGATTTTAGGGCACGATTTCTTTCAAGATACAGCTGCTTGTTGTGATTATTGGGGAGACACAGGGAGAAAGGGAGTCAAAGAGAGGGCGTGAGGGAGGTTACAGAGAAGGAGTCGGGGGCAAACTAATAGTAAGTGCCTTAGAGTTAAACATTAGTAACCTACCTAGGAGTGTGTAGAAGGTTTTATTCAACTTTACCAAAAGCTGTAATTGAATGTCCGGTCGGGTTCATAACAACCGTTACTTAGGATATATGATCTGATATTTAATTATACCAATTCAGACTATTTTAGTGGTAAGATGTTTTATATTTTAAATTAAATTTGCCACCTTCAGACTGTACTTTGTTGAGGCAAAGTTTTTGAATTACTGTCAAATGTTGTTAATTGAAAAATCAAAGGATTTTAATGTTAAACCTTTCAGTAAAGTATCAAAAAGTATTATATTTGTATTGTACAAAAATGACAATAGAATCATAAATTCAAACAATTGGTGGTTTCTGTAATGATAGACAGATACATACAATGACACCGAGGCTGAATGAAGAAAAATGAGACAGAATTATTTCTTTAATGTATGGATGCAGACATATTTCCACCCCCCCAATCCATCATCCACACTATACATCCCTTCCTCCCCCATACAGGTTCCCTGAGGGGACATTTAGGTTTGAGCCTCAATCCACAAATGGTAGACAGAACATACCCATCCTCCACAACAATTCAAATCCTCGTCAGAGAGATAAACAGCAAAAGATGGAGAAAACGGACAGACAGACAGGCAGAAAGAGAGTGAGATGAAGGGAGGCCATGACCGACCCCCATCCCCTCATTCACGTCCCTGCACCCCCCATCAGCACGCAGGTGGAATGACAGGGATAATGGGGAGATAAAAAGGAGGGATGAACAGAGGAGAGAAAAATGGAAGGACAGAGTTGGCTTTCATAAAACAAACCCCCGCTCTGCCTATGATTGACATCTTGTCACTGTGACATCTTCTTCCTGTCTCTGTCACACTCAACAGACATGCAAACACGCAGATGAATCTTCCCGGCATAGGCGTATGACTCGCTGTCATCTTTGCATCGTGTCACCTTTCATCAGCTCTCCATATAACATTTCACACGCAGACACGCACAAAGCGTCTGCCCAGCAGCCGCGCAGTTCAGAGGACATTTAATCAAATGCCTGTGAAATGCTCAAATGCTAACAACTACCTCCCAATTCCCACCCCGTCTCATCAACCGTGAATCCCTGTCTGTCAACAATCTCTCTCAAAGTTTGCTCTCTGCCCATCCCACGCTTCACAGCAGACCCTTATCTCACTTCCTGTCCAGGTTGTGTCCTTTCTCTTCACCTTAGAGCAGTGCACTGGAGAGGTATTGCTGGCGTGAGTGAGCATACATGTGGGTGGGTGGTGAAGTGCCACCACTTCAGCGGAGGTCGCCATGTCCTCCTTCTCTCATCCACCCTTCTTGTGGCCACCTCGGGCCCATTAAGAGCCATTAGTGTGTGTGCTCCTTTGCCATCATAATGCATAAATCTCTTTCTCTCCCTTTCCCTCTTTCCCTCTCTACTTCTGCGGAACAGTAATTAGGGATGAAGGAAAGGTTACGGTGAGAAATAGTACATCTAAGGCAGTTGTCACTAAGTGTATTGCACCGTGTTGCATATAGCAGGGCCGTCAGCTGCATTCAAAGTAGTTTTCGGTGGGAAATCATGTGTACTCATTCACACGCATGCATGCGGTACTTCCAAGTGTACAGAGGCACTCACAAACCTGGCAGACATACACACACTCACACAAAGCCGTCACAATGCAGAACAGCTAGAATGAGAGAGACATTAATGAGCTCGGCGCTAGCATCAGATCCCAGCACTCAGGTGTCTATTATCGGCTTCCTTCAATGGCCACAGATTGGGATGAGGAAAAAACACCTGCCAGATACAACACAGTGACCTCACTGTGACCACATGAGGTGTGGCGTGTGCACATATGTGTTAGTGTGTGCATGTGTGAAAAGGACATTTGCAGGATTTAAAATCGGCAACGTCTTTGTAGAGATTTAGGCTATTAATGCACGTTTTAGGTGTTTTATTTCACAGTATCGAGTCTTTACAACACATTGATTTAAAGTTACTATTTGTGCGTGTCATGATGATCAGGGGGGGGGGGGGGGGCACACTGCTGAAGGCTGGCACAAGCAGGGGAATTCAATTGTTTTCTCTTCCTCATTTGTGAAGGTATCTGCTCTTTAAAGCTGCGATGATGACAGCATGGTACTTGTATTGCTCCGCCAACCCATCTTTTTATTAGATAGCTGATGCATGAAGGTACTGTTTTTGCATGGGTCTGTATGCGTGTGCCTGTTTGTGATTAGCAGCATTGGATGCTTTTGTGCAAGCTGGTGATGGAAAGCTGATTTCAAAGCTGATAATACCAGTCTGTTAAAATGTGCCCAAGCAAAATAACATACACCTACACATGCACACACACACACACACACACACACACACACACACACACCATGGGCAGATTAGTGGGCTTTGAGCTGCACTGTTACGTATTAGTGGTGGTACTTGGTCTTATCAGTGCTCTTTGATAAGGAACATCTTTATTAAATTCTCTAACTGAAAGACGGCCAGTCTGGGGAAAAGGAATATGTTAATAGGTAGAGACCATTCAAGTCTTCAAACCGACCTCCCTTTGCCCCTCCATCTAGAATCCCCCCCTCTTCTTTCACCCTCTATCTCTTCATCCCTTCATCTAACGGGAGGGCCACAGTGGCAACAGACAAAGAGTGGAGGCTGCCGGGAGAGCGGGGCAGAGATGGGGAGAGCTGGGGAGAGCTGAGGAGAGAAGGAGGCAGGAAAAGAGGTAGGCGCAGGAAGCAAAACGTCTCGCCTTCAGCCGAGCAGAAAAACGGGGTCTGCACGAGTTGTGAGAAAGGTGAAATAGCTTTTTCTTTTCATTTTACACGCCTTCCCTTCCCGGTGTAACCCTCATCCTTTACCTCTCGCCCCCTATTACGCACACACACACTCTCACAAACACACACACTTACACCCACGCTCCCCGCCCTCATTTTGTGGCTGTGAGGAGAGGCACAACGTGTTTATGACTCAGTCCTAGAGCTCCCCCCTCTGATATTGGGTGGTTGCTGCAGCGCGGAGCACAGTGGTCAACCTCCTGCGGCTAGCCAATAAGGCACCGCCACGGTTATGTAGGTCGTGGCACCCGTGTTCGGCCTGTGGAGCCTCGCCACTGGTGCCTATGCACACACTGAAAGACGCAAACACACACCAGCTGGGACGAACGGTTAACTGAAATCAAACCATTTTCTTTAATCTCACATACAGACAGTTACCTACTGCTCTGTACGGTATGTGATCACACGGGCAAAGTGTCCCTGCACAAAAAAGCACACTTCAAAGTGCTACTAATGGGAAAATGTGCTATAAAGCTCTCCTAAATAATTAAATGAAATCATGATTGAATGATGAAATAATCCTGTGATTTTTGTTTTGTTTCTAATTCCTAAAATAAACTCAAATCCTTCAGTGAACCAATTTTCTATATGTTATATTAAAAATATTGACTGAAAGCTAAATAGGGCTGCTGCATTGAGTGATATCTACTGATTCTGTTGATGTGCCGTCAAGGCCGTCCGTGAATGAAACCTATTGAAAGTGTGTGTGAGCATGGGTGTGTGAGTGTCTCTTTGTAGCAAGGAGTGAAGATGACAGGGTGCGAAGGGTTAACTAGGCTAAGACAAAGACATAGGCTGAAACCATTGTGTGCCGAGTGGAGGGCCTCTGGGGCAGATGGGGCCTTTGGGCTCTTTTTCGCTTTCTCTCTCCAACACTTAGCTCAATTCAATGACAACTGGCTAACAAGCTATGATATTTGACACACACATTAATGGGTCCACGTGTATTCATCATAAACTGCAGATGCTGACGCAAATACCGCACAATACTGGTGGCGTGAATCATGGCAAAAGAAACAAACCAGCTATGTGAGCCTCCATCGCTTCTTTAGAAGCCGTAAGATCACATTTTTCAACCTCTTCTTTTCGTCCACTCCTCTGGCCTACACGGCTGCAGCTTGGTGGAGTTCCTCTTGATGAATAAGTGAGATTTTTCATCAAATGAAGCCTGATGATAAATGTGTGAGTGAGTAATTGTTTGTCTTCCTCAGTGTCATTCATGACACAAAAGAAAATACTTTGATTTATCTTTGAAACTTGGACAAGTGGAAATGTGTCACGTAGCTGTCAATCAAAAGAAAAAGCCACACTATCAGGTATACTATTGATCAATGAAACAAGGGGTTACTGCATGGAATTTGGTAAAGTTGCGTGTGCAGTTAATTATGAAATATATAGGCTATACTTGAATAATACCCCTAAAAAATGTGGGGGACTTTGGCATACTGGCTTTTTTGCGATCGCACACACACACAAAACACAAGGCCACTCTTACAATAAAACTAACTCACATATCTCTGCATGATCTGATGTCTCTCGTTCGGGTCGTCCAGCATGTTGACAGACAGGTCTGAGATGGAAACGGCGGCGGAGGCAGTGAGTGTAACCAGCAGCACCAGAACACCTTCACCTTCCTCCAGCGGCAGCTCCAGCTTGTGTGTCTGTTCTTTACTGAGATGTGTCAGGTCTACGGTACACCTAAAGTGCACACAAATGCACAATGAAACAGATATAACTGTAGTTAGGGGGAAGCTGACAAAGCTACAACACAGGCTAAAAGTAACAGAGGACAATGAAGACTAAACTAAGTCTAAGCCAATCTGGGGGCTTTTTGTAGCAAAAAACACAGAAAAAGGTCTCCAATTTCCCTTTAGAAATAAGGCTTCTACTACTGTAGTTATCATCGTATAAAACGTAATATATTGCATGTGGCGCTGGAGTATAGCAACAGCCTAGTAACAGTATAAAGAGCGTCATGTGTGTACGATAAAAGCAACTGCAGACAATGTAGCTGAAGCTGACATAATTAATACCTTTAAGTAGGCACTTGAGAGCATCTTCCCTTGACTGAATTGATTTCCTGGCATGCCCTTAATATATCTTCAGTTTATATCAAGGCAGGCAATAGCAATTACTGTCCTTGGGTCAAAGATTTCAAAGTAAAGGCTTTTTTTGAGTGCCTTCATGCTGCTGTTCTCATGGATGTTAAATAGGAGATAATACATAAGTACATTCGCACAATTATCACACATGGCCATTTGATATTAAATGATTTGACATACAGAAAAAGGTTGTAAAATGACAGTAAGACCTAACATGCGTGGTTAGGTGGAACCATAGACTGTGGGTAGAACCTTAAAAAAAATGAATGATTTTAATAAGCTGTGACTGGCTACTTCTGTTTTAGCTACTTGGTAAAAGACTGATCGGAATCAGAAACAGGTTTATTACCAGGTAGGTTGACACGTACGAGGAATTTGACTTGGTGTTGTGGTGCATACATAAAGGATTAAAACACAGAAAGAAAACTATTTTAAGAAAACTATAATAACATTAAAAATATATAAAAATATAGCAGTATTGAAATAGAATTGGAATAAAGGCCACTGTACCTTCCCATGAAGTCATCCTTCTTGCCAGCGTCTTTGTCCCAGACCGTGATGTCCACGTAGCCTCCCTGTTCCTCATACAGGTGGAAGTCAAACTGCTCTCTCCACTGAGGGTTCAGCGTTTTGGGAATTGTCTGAGTTCAAAACAAAAGAAAATCCTTTGTTTGTCAATAACGTGCTTCTACATCCATTTTTAACTAAGGTCAGATGTTTTTCTATTGAGCGATCTCCGTATAATCCCAACTAAATTAGTCTTCAATATGAAGTGTATAACTGAAGTGACCTCTCTCAGTGGTTCCTTTGTAAGTTGAATATTGAAATGAACGAAATCTTAGTATAAAAATGTTCTTTTGTTATTTTGATCACGGGGGCACACATAACATAACGGTCTTATTCCGAATTATTTGGAGGTTACTGTCAAATTAAGTATTCTTAAACAAAAGTGTGTTTACCTTGGTCTTGTACTTCTGGTGCCCCATCCTGAATTTGATGTAAGGGTCACTGAGGCCGTTGGCGTCCATTGGCTGGAGGCTGCGGCCTTCGATCAGACTGATGCTGACTATCCCTCGCCACAGCTGGGATTTTCTGTGCACATCTGACAGGCGCATGCTCTGATACTGCAGTAGACACACACATTCACACACACATTTATTCATACATAAACAAGCATGTACACATATGCATTCATTAAACCCAAGATAGAAGTATGGCTTGTGTACACTTTGTCAACAGGAAAATAAGCAATCATAAAGACACCAAGACAACATAGAGAGGAGCAGGCAACACACACTAGAGAAGAATCAAACAGAACATGTGATCATTTGACCCGATTCATATATATTTATCCTATAAATTAAACCCATCCACCTATTTATACAAGTCTATTAAGATGAAGAGGTTGGGAATGCTGATGAATGGAATAATGCCCTCTCACCTCTCTGTGTTTACTGTGAATCTACTGCAGAAAGAAAATCTTACAGTCTGCACAAGATAGTGTATGTCATTATATCAGTCTTGCCTTTTTGTAAAAAATAATAATTGAATAAAAAATAAAAAGGCGAGTGATTTGTAGGCTGTCTTATCCAAAACGTGCATATCACTTACATTCTGCTCCAGTATAACTCCCTTTTTTTATTCCATCTGGCGATACTGTAAGTTGACAACGCTACAAATTCAGATTGATGATTCTCCGTATTATAAGTCTGTTTTTTTCCAACAGTTTTCCCAGCACTAACAGGCCTATTTAACCTCTCTTTGAATCATGTCAGTATCCTTCACTAAAACAAAGAGCAGGGTATTTATTTGTCAAACAAATACACCCCTCTCTCTCTCTCGCTTTCTCTCTTATGCCTTTCCCTCTCCTCCTTCCTCGTTAGGGAGAATTTATTAGCATAGCTTTTGTTTTGCGGGTGAATTTCATTAAACTCTGAACAAACCCTGCCTCGCAAGCGCAGGCCTTTGATCTGGAGACGAAGCCTCTTAATTTCCATTCTCCAGACATTAAACAATGCAAATGACTCCCTGCAATAGAGCCAACCTCCCATACTGCAACTCCCACATCTCTCCTTTCTCCTGTTCACTTGCTGCTAACACTGTATGCTAATGATAAGAGGTCACCGTTATGTCCTACTTGAGCAAAATCCTAATTGTTTCCTTGTTTTGTTGCTACATATTACTTCTAACAGAAAACCACAGGCTATTTGGATTGGGAATCCACATCCTTCTGCCAGAGCACAGCAGGAGATAGATCGTGCATAGAGATGTTCAGGGGCTGAAAGTCTTATAAGAGATAGTTGCACTCAGTTTAAGAACTAATATAACCTGGCACACAACTTTTGTCAACCCGTTGGAAGAATAAACAACGTTTGAAGTACAAAAATAAGCATTTTTCCAAGTGATAGAGGAGAGACCTGGTTTAATATGCATCTGACTCATAATCATTATCTCAAACTAGATCTTGAATAGTATCTTCTGCTGTTGGTTCAACACTCATTGATGGTTCATTAAAAGAGGTGGTTATGTAAAAATAACTGTACTTGTATGCAGTGGAGCATGGAGGCAGGGAGGCACTCGGGAGCAGCGCCTTTTTGGTGGGGTAGCACAGTTTAGCTACTAAGTTAGTGTTTGAGCTAAATCCAGAGTCACAGGCGGGGTGGCCCAGTTTGCCGGCTTCAAAAGGAAGCACGGTGCAGCAGGACGTCTGCCCAGCTTTGGATAACTCACTTCAAATGTGTAACCGTGTCTCTTGGTAGGATATCAAACTTTGTAATACTTTTAGTGCGATTTAAGGGATCGACTATGACTGAAGCTAAGCTCAAGATTCAACGGTTCCCTTCTCAGTGACGATTTTAAACCAAAACAGGAAGAGATAAGAAAATACCTCGGTAAAAGTGACACAAGGACCAACAAAGCTGGGAATAAATTCAGGAAAATGCTCCCAAAACTGTATTTGACTGAAAAAGAAAGTGTTTCATGCATGAGCCAAATAAGCGCAACTTTGAACATCATGCTTTCTGTTCAACCCGACAGCCAACGAGAAATACAAACGAAATGTACCATGATGGTAGCAGTTTTATGTATTGCAAGATGAGAACTCAAAATAATGTCAACGGAAACATTTCCACTTGATGCAAATGGGTCTAAGTATGTCCTATAATCAGTCCATACAGTCAGCCGTCAGCAAACTGTCTCATTCCACAGTTTGATTTGTTGTATAGGAATCCTTTGAAACCCATTATAACAAATCAATTGCTTTATTTTCTCACACAGCAGCTGCAATACACTGTGCGGATCAAAGGTGGAAGACGCAAACATATATAACTGCATTATTTAAAAGCTTATAAGGACAAAGTTTAGTATAGATTATGTTACTAATAATATACATTGACTTCACTGTAAATGACTCCAGACATATTGTCACTGTTCTCAATTGAAAGACTAAATATGTAAACATAACCAGGAGGTGAAACATCCCGTATAAAAACAGTACTTAGTGTAGTGCATTACTTCGGTATGTATTTGTATGAATTACAACTTGCCTTAACAGATCTAAATGCAGTTCATCTTTAGGCTTAATCAATTGCATTCCAAAACATATTATTTACATCCCCTCAGGTGATGTAAACAGTGCGTGGTATTTTGCAGCTTGTGGGAAAGAAGCAAGTGATAATGAGAACTAAAGAACTGATGAAGGAAAAGAAACGGGTAGTACCACTGTGGAAGGAGGAAAACGAGGGAGGAAGGGAGAGGGCCACGGAGACTCCACCAATATACCAGGACACAAGTGAAGAGTGCAGGACAGGTGAGGTGCAGTTCGGTCGGTAGGGGGAGGGGGAGGGTTACAGTACAGTCGGAAGTTGTGAGGGAGGGGGAGTTACATGCTGTTTTAATTTACCTTACTAGATCGTTTCCAGTTCCTTCTCAAAAGCATGGTCTGTAAATGAGACAAAGCTGTTACAGAGCGCCCCCCACTGTCTCCCCCTTACAGCTGCAGGGTCAGGGGTTAAAGGGCACTGGGTATATAAGGGTCAGATGTTAGCTGGCCTGGTGCAGGAGGGGGGTGTTTATAAAGAGACAAGGGTAGCTGTCATTCATGCAAGTTAAGTGAGCAAGGAGTGTATAAGAAGAACCATTACTTGTCATGTTATGAAGTATACCCATACTGTATGCAAACATGCAGTTAAACACATGCACATTAATGTTAGCTGCCGTTTGTGCCTCTCAAACAGTGTACCCATCATTTTAATACTTGATAATTTGACAAAGGTCATGACCATGACCATTGCTTCCTTGTTTGGTTTGCTCATTTTAGCCTGCTTTGTTTGGGTCAAATTATAGAGAATCACCTTGAAAAACAGTTAAACATTGTACTTAACTGTACAGAAAATTACTTTTTTCCCCCACCAACCATAAGAATGAGGATTATGGACATGTTCTCATACAGGCAAGAGATTTTGTGAAAATGCGGCCAAATGTCTCTAATCTTAGCTTTAAATGATTTCTGAGATGGATGTGGCTTATTTCGTCTTAATTGAGATAAATGCAATAATCAATACAAACTTGCTACCACTACATGAGAGGTCTACTCACATACGGTAATTTCCCTGAACACTCATGAACTTGATAACACACATTATATAATGAAGGAGTAATTAAAAGTAAATTTGAGCTATGGGTAAACCTTTACCCTAAACCAGTAGATGGCAATAGAGAGTCATCCAGTGTGTACTAGTGTAACCTTGTACTCATTTTCTTCACAGTTGGAGAAATCCAAAATGATGCTTAACCTAAATAGAGTTTATTTGTTCTGTCAAATGTGGACTCTCTGAACTACAGCACTAAATAATCAGCAGAATTAAGACATCAGATCAAAAGGAATACAATATTTCCCCCATGACTCTGCCTTGTTCCGGATCGAGCATGCAGGGGTCCAATTAACCAAACAAATAATTGAACAGAAATAAATGCAACTCTGAAACATTGAGCATGTCCGTGGAGGCACAAGCAACATAATTAGGAAGGATAATTCATTGCTCTTTGAACATGGAACTTTTCCACAGAACATATTAATTACACTTGTGTTTATGCATATGTATTTCCTGAGTTGAAGAGTTTCCAGAAACTGGTGATGAACGAAGCCAAAACATTCTAGTTCAACACAGCCTGGTGCTTCTGATGTACGGAGAAACAGTTCACTCTGAACTTCAAATGTACTTATTATAAATCCTAATATTTTGACTTGTTAGTTTTAACTGACAAGCAATTAAGCATACATTAGACCCTTGGTTTTCCCTCATTTGGCTACATTTTGGGCATATTATTCCTTGTTTTGGTGGATGGTAGATAGATTGTGTAAAGGGCAAGTACAATAAATCATTCCTTGTGTGCGGGAAGAAAAATAAATAATATTATTGTTGTTCATATCATTTTCTTACGGCATCCTTCATGTCTCCCTCCTTTGGTGACAGAGTGACACCGAGGTCCAGGCTGCCCAGGTTGTGTTCAAGGAACTGTGGGTCCTTCAGGTCCAACGTCACATCCAGTGACCTGCAGAGAAGCACAGTAAACCACATCAAATCGTATAATGTAGGTACATACAAAAATGGTGTACATGTATATGTTGAGAGTGAATGGATTCCACGTATAAATAAATGCATTCATCTAATTCAATCCATTTTAACAAACAGTGAAATTAAACATTTGATCAGTTCTCACGAGCTGACGTTGTGCTATAATTGTTTCACAAACTGTAAACCTTGAAGAAAATCTTGCATTTATGTGAAAGGAAGAAAAAGCTACTAACCTCCTATAGCTGGCATGTTGACTGACATTGAATACAGTTTTAAGCATATTTGGTTGGATAATACTGTGAATGGTAACAACTTTGGCCAGCATTTTGTCCAATGCCTAACATCCAATAGGTGTTTTCACTGAGGTCATAATTTGAGTCACACTGGTAGAAAAAGCCCAGGTATAAACCAATAGTTTTAATGCGGGCTGAATTCCAATTAGCTGCTTTAGTTTCTGGGTCCTGGCATTGTGCATGCTTGTTTACTGTCACACACTTTCTGAACAAAACAGAGCCATAGTAATGTTAATATTAAAACGTGTGCTTCTCATGCTATTACAAGTCCTGCGAAGAAGGTCTACCAGCAGAGCTGAGCCAACTCTCACCTGCCAGTTGGTACAATCAGCAAGAGTCATTACAAACACCTGTGTGGGTGTGCAACCAAAACTAATTACCAATCAAAAATGTGACACCTACTCCAAAGTGATTGATGGCACAGCAGAGATGGCACACGTGAGGTTTTTGGGAGATAGTTGTTTTACTACTAAGAAGAATATTAATGATGGTCTGTGGTATCACATTACTCTTCATACTTCTCTGTTCAATCAAATTGTAATAAGGCTGTTATGCTTCATGAGGTTTGTAATGAGTTACCAAAAACTGCCACTAGGGAGAGACAAACGACCTTATTTTATCACAATGACTCAATCAAGAGGGAGAAAAATGCTGAAGATGGTGTGTGCCAAGAAAATAGGTGTATAGGTGTTAGTGGGAGAAGTCTTAGGGGAGACTAACCCTTAACCTCACCATCTGTTGTCTCCTAAAACAACAGCATCTGCCTATTACTGGAGGCTTGCAGCTACCAATTAAGTGGTTCAAATATAATCCCAGAGTTCAGGAGATAGTTAACAACAGGGACAATACAGTATAATTAGGGTGTGTATAGTGCTAGTGGAAATAAAAGGTATAATATAAATGCCTTTCAAAATAATAAAAAAGAGACCTCTGATGTTCCAGTGACTCCAGGTGGAGGTATGCAGAGCCCATGAAATCATCCTGAAGTCCAAAGTCATAGTCAAAAACCTAAAAGACACAATATACAGAAACTATCAATGGAGTATCCTCAAAATAAGATGCAAATACTATCCGTCACAATGATTCAAAAATCTTCCAAAGATACAAAAGCATTTTATTCTCCAGTAGTATGATATTTGTTAACCAGGTCGTATCTTCCTTACCTTGACGTATAGCGGGTCTTTCAGGGTGTCCACCAGGAGGCTTACTCTCTCGTCCCACACCGGGTTGAGGTTCTTATGGATGGTCTTACTCCTAAAAACCTCCTTCCCTGCTATCTTAAACTTCACATATGGGTCACTGGTGCCTACAAGGAAAGAAAACAAACACAGAGAAATGTCTTTAAACAATCGGATTAAGAAGAGTACCACCGAAGAGATGAGAAAAAGGGTCGAACTGAAAGTTAAAGCCAATAACTCTCTTCTTCAGCTAATGGCATTGATCAAATGGGTGTATCTAAAGATTATGCTTTAATACAAATACAAAAGTTTGTGACATTAGTGTCAAAAACATTCACGTTGACCTTTACTGATGATAATTCAGTTTTCATACTACAAGATTTGTTTAAACTACATATTTTCTCTCTCTCTCTCTCATCGTGATGGACCACAGAGAATGATAGACTGTTGTAAATGCTGCGCTGAAAAGGCTAAAGGAGAAAGTTATGCATGTCACGTGACTCGTGCTGTATATCCGGTCATATGATCAGCAGTATAAATGCTGAGGCTGCGTGTTGGATGTGCACAGCCCGTTCAAATCCTTTGTTTGACCACTAGATGGAGGCAATGATTTATATTTGTGTTCTGCTCGAGAAGACCGAGATCATTTTGAAAACTATAAAACAAGTCTTTTTTATGTCAATGTAAATACAGAGATATAAGTAAGCCCATATTACACACAAATACAGAGAGGACAAAATAAGATATACATTTCTAAACCTACGTTTTATTACCCTGATAAATGGGACATTGATCCTCCTGTCATTCCCATGCTTCATTTAAACATCTCATTAACCAAGGACCATACATTTTATAATCAATTGGTTTGACGGACAAAGAAAAGCAAAGACAGAGACCAGAAGGAAGCACACATTTATAATCAAAGGACAGGTCAATTAGGTAAAAAAACGTGGAGCCCTAAGTAAATTACTTTTAAGGACGTATCGAGGACATTTCTTCCAGAAGACACACTTCAATATGTATCACTACCAAAATAAATCCATTAAACACGTTGAAAAGCTTACTGCATCTGAATAAAAATGACAAGCAACCACACAGACCGAGGGAGACTGGGAAGTATTCACAGTGCAGTATTTACATCAGAGTTTGTGTTTTATGTAGGCGGTCTGCTTAAATTCAGATACACATTCAGTATAATTACCACACACCCAAAACCTTTTCACCATCTTTGGCATCCAGGAATCAGTGCCTTTCGTCTCATCTAGCCATTGCCCCTTCCAGTGTGCAACTGGAGAGATGAAGATGAGCAGCAGCTTCCAGTGAGGCAGTACTGATCTGTTTGTTTGTCTCATATCAGTGTCATGTTAGTATCCACTGTGACCAAAGTGATTACCAAGCAAATCGCACTGGGAGATAAGGCAATCCTATGTCCAACAATTGTCACTCTGAGCCTATGGTTGATGCTTTCTGCCAGATCACTTGGATAACAGAGAAATGTTAGTGAATATATAAAGCCTACCGCTCAGAATATTATATAGCTTAGATGGAACCAAGAGCACCCTAATCCTGCGTTGAGTTGTTTACCTGTTAGTATAATCTGCCCTGTTTTCAGGAGGCAGAGAGGATGCTAGTGGATGAAAGGATGAGCTCTCAGTGTTTCCTCAGATCAAGATAGATTCTTGTTCATCACCAGAAAACACGTAATAATACCTCACATAATATTGATGCACATTAGAGACATAATAGAGGCTCAAGGTAAGACTAACTAAGGTTATTTTGTCATCACAACAGATTATATAATACCATATGTTGTATAGTAGTCAAATCATAGTATATTAAAAAAAACACGGGTCATTTGAATCCAACAAAAGACTCCATTTAAATGTCAAAAAAAGACTCAACTTCGTCTGAGAAAAAACTGCTGACTGATCTCAGCTGCCAGTAAGCTTTGAAGCGAGAGTGGAAATACATGCACTGACGCCGGGGCTGCTGGGAAAAGATGTCCACTTCTTCACAGTTAAACACCACCATGCGGAGCGGCATATACTAGAAATACTCCCTCACATACACACTTTTACACACTGTTGCCCTTGACATATCACTGCAGCTCTCCTGCAGTGAGAAGACACAGTGACAAGATAAGAAGAAAAAGGAGAAAAAAGTGGAACAGCCAGAAATAGCTCAGAAGGGCATTACGGTGAGGCACAACAGACAATAAATACAAAAGAATGTGCAGAACTGTAAAAAAAGGCATAAAATAAATCATGTTTCTTCGTGAAAAAGGAGTACAACAATCTGTATTGTGTACATGAGGTTATACTAAAGGAACTGTCTAAAGATAGTCTAAAGAGGAATGGTTCCATACTGCATCATGGAGGCAGAAGCCACTTGTCTCAAAAACTGCAGCAACTCTCTTTCTCTGTCTATCTTTCTCTGATTCTGTTTCACACCGGGTCGATATTCCCCAGACACACATCACTGGCTCAGTCTCTGCATCCCTCAGTGCCAGCTTTATGGTGCCATAAACACGCAGGCTGAGAAATGGAAAAGGTTGGTGCGTCAGGTGGGTGCAGGCTCAATATGAGTGAGCGTGGGTAGAGCACAGGGGAGTGATTGCAGCGGTGCTCTCTTGGAACTCATCAACCACTATACTGTATATGACATTTATATCATACTTCTTAAAATACTTCCGACAGTTGGATGAAGTCCATGAAGACAGAAAGTGATTGCCCTACATAAGGGCTGGTGGGTGGATAGGTCAATAAGCTATAGGTGTTGTAAGATCAATACGCTTTAAAAGGAAGAAGAAAAAGTTGGCGAAAAAGCCTAAAACCTCCTAGGGGTGTATGTGTGATGGATTGGTGACCTAGGGTTGTTTTTCCACCTTGCAGTTGGAACCCTGTGAACTAAAAGTGCTGGGTAAAGGGAGAGCTGGTATTAGGAGGGAATGTGTCACACACTGATAAACTGTCAGAGGTAGATAGGTGCTGACGAGAGGCTAGAGAGAGCACAAAGTGATTTTCTGTCGTTGAGTGGCATTACTGGTGAGTCATGTGTGTATGGTAAAATCCATTTCAGAAAAGAAGATTAGAAAAAGCTTCTAAGTAGGTTTTGATGACGCAACTATACATTTTAAAGTAATCACTGGCAGTGTAATGTTTGCAATGTTCCACTAATTCACCTTCCTGGATTTCAACACTCTTTCAATTCAACACACTTCATTCAGCAATCTGCAGTGTTTACTTTGGAGCCTGCTGTTTGTTAAGATTTCTGAAAGTGTCTCCACAAGGACAAACATCTAAAACCATAATTAACAGCAAATGAAAACACAACTAAAAAGCCTGCGCAGGAAACCACTGATTGAACTTTAATAAAAACCCAAATACAGTGGCAAGAAAAAGTATGTGAACCCTTTGGAATGTCCTGGTTTTATGCATGAATTGGTCATACAATGTGATCGGATCTTCAGCCAAGTCACAAGTATAGACAAACACAACGTGCTTAAGTACACACAAACATTTATAGTCTTCCGTGTCTTCATTGAACACATCTAATACACATGTGCATTACTGGCAGAAAAAGTAAGTGAACCCTTGAATTCAATAACTCCTAAAACCACAAAAAAGCATTTCAGTAGCTACAGTAGGATTGTTAGCGATAGCTTGGAGGTGGATGATGAAAGGTCAGTAGGAGGCAAGGCTGAAAATGAGTAAAACTGGTTGAAACCCATGGTTGAAAGTTCAACAATTAACATTACAGTTAATATAAACTGCAGATGCTATGATTATGTACGGTATAAGGGTATAGAGACAAAACTCATAACAGACATCAATGAACATTGTATCTGTAAAAGGGAATTATTTTGAGCCCCGGTCTAGGAACAAAAAATCAAGAATTTCATCCAATTTTGAAGTGAAAGATGTGGTTAACTCTCATTCTAGAGTCTCACCGAACTTGAGAATGGGTGAGGAGGAATTGCCAAACACACAGAGAGATACTGAGTGTTGTTCATATCAAGGTGTTAATCTATTCATCTTTTATGATGCTATCAATGTCAACCACTAAACACTGTGAAAGTAGCTGGGAGGAGTAATAAATGTGTTTGTGAGAAGACCCAGTGGGCACTCAGCAGGTAATCTTTACTTGGGTGTGGCGCAAAGGCAGATCTAAAAGCCCCTGATAGACTTTTGCAAGCTGCTCTCGGTCTTCCTGACAGGCAGTTGAAACCAGGATCCACCACACATCTATCTCCACTGAACACCTAATGGGCAGCGGCCATTTAAATACATCTCAGTGTCTGTCTGCCAGTAAGCCAGGCTGCCCCGCCAGACACCTGAGAACGCAGAGACTGCAAGCCTGAAAGCAGACTCTGTAATCCAAATGTGAAAACATCAACACCAAAACTCTCCATCGCACTCTCAATGGTCATCAGAATCATCATAATCCATCGTGCAATGGGGACAATTCTTATTGCCGTTTTTGCTCTCTCTTGTTTACATGCAAAATCACTACAGTATATGTGTGTGTGTACATTAATGCATAGACTGCTAATGCATGTTGTTATGGCACAATGTGTGATTGTGACTTGACATGACAAACAAAAAAGTTAATTAAAAAATGCACCAGCTACAGTACATGGCATACACTCAAAACAACTTGCAACCTTGATCATCCAAGACATACAAGCAAGAGAGTAGGGATATCTAACAGTCGAAGTGTCTGCATTAAAAAGTAATGAAACTAATTAGCATGCTAACACATACATAGATAGAGTAACACACATCAAATTCATTTATTGATACTAATTCCTAGGATGTCCTTTGATATTCATGAATATAGATACATACATTTATCCAGTCGACAATGCAAACCGGCCTATCAGATCATTTCTATATTGCAAATGCATAATTATAACTTACTGATGCATGTACTAGTAAAGTGAAGACTTTCTCTTCCATTAATAATATACCAGCCCTTACCAAAGTGAGGCAGTGTGTGTGCATACACACCATACACTCATTCAAGGCATATGCATGAGTAAAGCCATTCCTGATGTTTGTATTAGGTTTTTGTCTAACAGTGTGTCTTTGATCTGTAGTCGATTAATTGATTCAACCCATTTAATGGC